GTTTTGTTCAAATAATTCATTACAGGAAAGGTTTCTATGCTTCCCCTACAGCATACAAGTTATATCTTCTCCTTATCATCCAGCAGTCCAATTTTGATCAAGAGAGACACTCACCGTTTGATCTTAGATCCGATGTCTTAAAGTATTTTATTTTTAGTTTTTTTTTATACAAATTATATGAATATGAAATTTGGTACGTGCCCTCTTCTCATTGGGGTGCATCTATAAAAATATTAATTTTTTTTTATAAAATATAATGATCAAAATACATTTTGAAACTTTTAAAGATATTTTGATTATTTTATTTTATTGAAAATATTTTTTTTATATTTTTCGCTAGTGTGAGTTTAACGGAGGAATGGATGTCTAAAATTTGGTGTCAAAATAGTTTATGAAAAAATATTAAAAATAAAATAGGGTAGAGACGTGATATTGTAACCGGAACAATCTTAACCCTCCTTTAGAATGGAGGGTTGGATAGAAGTTTTGTACTGAAGGGGAGCTTTCCCATTTCTCACATATTCGAAATAAACATTATACTCTACTTATGCGTTGTGACCAGTGTTTTAAAAATCGACGAGTCGAACCGGACGGGAACCAGCACAGTCCGTGCCGGTTCCAATACAAAACCGAGAACCGCTCGGTTCTAGAGAAGAATAGCCGGTTCCAATCCGGTTCTGCCCGGTTCTACTGGTTCAGCCCGGTTCCCTCCTTGCTCACGTGCACACGTGCGACACGCACATGCACGTGTGCGCACATGCACGTGTGCGACACTTGTAAGGTTACCCCAATATTTCTACACAAACATTTTAATTTATATTATATAGGTATTTATATACCAAAGTGGAATACCCATCTTTCGATGTGGGATAATTCCCAAACATCATTAAATGAAAAGAGAATTTAAATATATTCTATTAATCATCAAGTTATAGCCACATATGGTGAGGTGGCGTGGTGGTTAAGACCTTTGCTTCTTCATGTGACCTCTCAAGGTCGAGTACCCCCGTGGGCATTATTTTTTGTGTTGTATAGTTTTTGTTATATATATTGTATAAATATTTTTTTAAATAATATAAAAAGCATAAAAAAATAAAAAATAAAAAAGTTAATTTTTTGTATAGCAGTTAATTTTTGTTGTATGTAGTGGTATAATTATTTTTTAAAATAATATGAAAGGTATAAAAAAATAAAACATAAAAATTTTATTCTATTTGAAATCTCCATCTTTCTATTAACAATCTCTTTCACTAAATTTATTATAGAAACCTAAAAAAATAAATTTTTGAAAAATTTAAGTGTTATTTTCAAAATTTGTACGTATTTTATTAGTTTTTATATTGATAACCAAATCTTTTATTTTATTTATTAATTTTTACATTATAAATCATGTAATATACTATTTTTCTCACAGTTGTCAATAATACATTTTAAATTAGATAATATTATAAAATATTTTTAATTTGTTATTATTTGTTTAATAAAATAATTATAAAATATAAACTAATTATTATAATTTCAGTATATAATATTATAATTCGTTAGGTTTTAATAATTTTGGATTATAGTTAATTAGGCTGTCATAATTTGGATTTTTTTAGCGGATTAGGGTTTTTCGCCAAAACAAGATTTTAATGGCCATTCTTTCATTGATTACCAAAACAAGATTTTAATGGCCATTCTTTCATTGATTAGTCTACTCTTTATAATAGTCCATGTATAATTATATATTTTATCTATGATAATTCTATAATTTTTCTTTTATATGATGCAAATTTAATGGTTAACAGAAGTTTATACAGGGAAAGAGTATCTCAATATTCACAAATTGATAAAAAAAAGGAAGTTAATAATGTAGTACTTTCATTTCTTATTGGATTCCTAAAAAACAATATTTATAATGAATTTTAATAATTTTTTCGGATTTTTTTGAAGCTTTAATCCAATCGATTCAGCCTATTCCTGATTCGAATCGCCGATTCGCTGAACCGGATCGGTTTTTGAGATGCTCGATCCGAGTCACCGATCTGCTTTTTAAACTATTGGTTGTGACACACGGAAAAGGCCATTCCCGCGCTTCATCTCCATTACATTCTCATTTTCTCTCTCAATTCATAATTTCAATTTTCATAATCTTGAAGGTATAGCAATGGAAATATTGGGAAAAAAGTTGATTTTCTTCGTCAAATATGCCTTTTTTCATGAGTGATGTACGTTGAAGAACTCTTATCATTATGTTTTATGACATTTTAATTTGATTTACAGATACGCTTTTGCAAGTTCTGATGTGGAGAAGCAAATAGCTCGAGAAATTTGTAATTTCTTTAATCTCTCTTTCTCAACTTATTTCTATAATTTTATTTTATTGTGGTTCTTTCTGTTTTATTTCTCGCTCCTAACTTATTGTACGTTTTCTACCTCTTTGTTCCTCTCTCTCTCCATCTGTTTCTCTCTTTCAAAGCTGCCTCTGTAGGATAAGAACAGCAGGCAATCGTTTCAAAGCTTTCTCTGCCCTGTTTCGCCCCGAAAGAAACAGAAAAAGAAAACCTGATTTTGCTTGAAATGGAACAAGAAACCAAACCCTAAAATTTTTGAATTCATTATTAGTAGCAAGCGGTTTTCGCAAAAACAAATTGGAATTTCATCCGTTTGGAAGCAGTTTAAGCGGCCTAACCGGTAAACCGATCAATCCAACCGTTGCAAGTCCTGGGCAGTTAAAAAGAAAAAAATTTAAAATTTTTTTATTAAAATATGAAAAATATATAAATAATGATTAAAACAAAACACATTTAAATGAAATTAAAAATTAATAAAAAAATAGATTTTGATCCATTTTATATTTTCTAATAGCTATTTTTAAATTTTTTTAAAATAGATGGAAAAATATAAAAGTGAATATTAATGATCCAAACGATTTTTAATCTTTGTCATAATGTAAAGAATATTTAAAAATACGTATAAATCAAATTCGTTATTTTTAAAAATTTATATATATCTTTTTGATTTTCTTTTTAAAATACTAGTTGATCACCCAAACGGCCCAATCCGGAACTAATCGGTTCAGATCTAACCAGGTGGTTAGTGGTTAGATCGGGGGATTTGTGAACAATGGTAGAAAGGTCACAAATCTTAGATTTGTGGTGCCTGCACGAGGTGGTGCAATCCTGATCTGTGATCTGCTGTTACTCCTCTGATTATGGTTAAATGCAATATCCTGCAAAATGCAAGAGCATAACTTCTGGTTTTGGGGATTACTGAAATAACAAAGAGTTAGATGCTTGAGTGCCAACTCTGCCTGTTTACACTGTCTGTGAGTTTGGGTTCAGATGATTTTTAGCAGTTGTTCAAGAAATACTAGTCTAACATTGCTGGCCCCAATTAGAAGATTGTGTTGTTTTTGCTTTTACTGATGCCAGGGTTCGCGTTCAAACGCAACTCATGTCTGCCAGAGGGGTGATTGTTGAGTCTGATGGGTTCCATAAGTTAGGGTTGTGAGCGAGGGGATTGTCAAGCCTGGTGAGTCTTCCACTATAAAATACCATAATATACGATGATGAATGAAGTTCGCATCGTTTGAGAACATTGTGGAAATGATGTACCACAATTCTGAAAATGCTGTGTGGCTATACCTGAGGACCAGTGCAGTAAGTAACTACAGCTTTGCTGCATGGTGGATATACTGCTGGTTGATGTTTTCTCTGCTATCATCACAAATCTCGTTGATAATCTTCTGCTGGTTGATATTTTCTCTGCTATCATCACTAATCTCATTGATAATCTTGTTCTTCTTTGATAATACTGAGGGAGCATTGGGATCTCTTTACCCATGGCCTTCCTCTAGGTATAGTCATGATTGGTACCCTCACTCGAGCACAATGGGATATCAATAATGCCTTCAAGGTGCTTGTTGGCCTTCCATCCAACCTCCGGTGGAGTTCCTCCAGCTCCTGCTGAGCTTATAACTACACCACCTTCGAAGAGTGAATGTTTTCTAGAGAAAAATTAGCTCTACGGGGTTTGTTAAGAAAATATTAATTTTTTTTTAGAGCATGGGATTTGGGCGGAGGAGGTTAGGGTGGTGCGTACCTTTAGAGTTCCATTCTCACCATGTCTAACATTCACAACAAAAAATAATAATAACCTTTTGAGAAGTCTGATGTTATCTGCTCCATTCAGTAAATACCCTTCTTTTCACCTTTTTCTTTATGTTCTGGGTTTATATCTCTCCGACGTTTAGTTGCATCCTTTTTGATGTTATGCAAGTTCCTTCTTCTTAGAATTTCTTCAGATTTCATTGTGTTCACATGTCATTTGGGCAATGAATACATCGATTCTTGAAATGATTTGGCAATTTCTTAGGTCTATAAATATGCAGGATATTTCTTTCATCCTATGTAAATTCTGTTGCTTTTCATTTGAATTATTCCAAGCACTGGATGCATTTTTTGTAAGGGAAATATCTTGGGTTTCTTAATATGTAAGACTTTACTAATCTTTGTTTTTTTTTGTAACAAATGTGAATTAAGGATGGATTCTCATATTTTGTGATTTACTCAACTGTTCTTGACGCAGCTTCAGCATTTTCAGTTGTTGTAATATACATAATACACTTCGTCATGAAGAGTGCCAACAATTAGATTAATAGTATTGCATATTGTGCCATGAAGTGGAATTGTAAATCAGCCAAGATGTGAAGAAGTTTTCGTATCTTTTTAGGACATTGGCAATCTTTTTGACATTTAAAATGGAATTATTCTCAGTTTGTTTGTTCTGCATGCATGTGCATGTTTCTTGGAGCCTCTATACTCGCAACTTGTTTTCTTGGGTATTTGGCCTATTATTATGGATGTTTCATGACAAGTTTGATTCCACTGGTATGCACAGCTATAGAAGCTCTTTGAACTGTGCAAGAAGCTCTGGGAACTTTCTAGTTTGCAGCTTGAAAGAGGTAATTTGATTTTTCAGGAAAAGGAAAGTAAATTGAATAGCTTTACTTGCCAATGTCGCACTACAACTATGACATTGATGACACTATTGTGGATGAAGAGGTAATGGGGTTTCTTACTTTTAACTACATGTTTGTTTATCTGCAGAGCTAACTTTTCATTTTTTTCTTTTACTTACCATCCAAAATATTGTTGGTGCTTTGCAGCTCGTTTCGGTTGTATTTCAAGTGACAGAAAATGGGGTTGGACTTCTAGATCCTGGATCAGGTACTAATAGTGTTAGTTTTTTTTTTTTGGTTCCTTTTTTTTCTTCTTTCTTTTATCAGAGAGTAATAACATAACTTGGTTTGATCATAAAACCATTAAAGAATTCTATTGATCAGTCTCCATAGAGTTGTCTAATGATTGAAATTGAATCACTCAGGTTGAACAAGGTGCGAAGATTCATGTGCTCTTCTGGTTTGCTCAGGAACTGTATTTGAGAGAAGTAGCCTCTATTAATTTTCCTATTCGTTTCAATCAAAAGTGAGAGCTCTCTTATCCACTTAATCAAATGATGATTCATACAAGTCACAAGACAAGATAAGAAATCACAACAATTGATTTATGTGTTTTTACAATGGAGGGTTTTTGGCATTATGGGTAGGACAAGGAAGTCAGTCCAGGCTGATCCTGCATGCATGGATCTCAGAAGTCGGTGCCCATATTTTTATGAGTTAGGATACAAGATTGCGCCCAAGTAGGTTGTTGTCTACCTGACCTCTACCTTCTAGTTTTTATCACTAATTTCGAGTTTCAACATAGTTTATTTTGTCTTGTAAGAGGTTTTAGATTAGAAAATATTTAGTTGCAGCAATTTAAATGTTCTTAGTCAAGCAATTTAAATGTTCTTAGTCAAATTACTTGTTGATGGAAGATTATACTTAGGTCAGGATTGTCTTACTCTTTGTTGATGGGTAGGATTGATGATAAGGAGCTTGGGACCTTCATCTCACTAACATTTAATGGGAGGTACAAGGAAGTCTTGAGCAAATCTCATGGGGCTGCATTTGCAGCTGTTCCAAAGTTCCTGCCTCTTCTCACCAAAGAAGAAAGCAATTTGAGTGAAATTTCCATTGGTTCGTTCATACTTCCTTTGAATTTTGTGGCTTCAGTATTTGTTTTGTTAAACAATGTAATTATTGTTGTGTGTGACCAAACTGAGGAAGGACCATGTTGGTTGTTTATTTCAGTATACAAAGCAGCTCGAAATTCAATGATAGCATTCAAGGAGTGGAGATTAGGGGCATCAAGATTGGAGAGGGTGCTTGAAAGGAAGAGGAAGCCAATAATTGGTCAGATGCATGGCCCAACCCCATGAATTGTATTCTCTCTATATGCTTTCTATTCAAGCATGTGAGAATTGAGAAGTTATCCGTACTCTTGGTTGTACTGTTGATGCTTGAGGCTTGGCATGTAATCATAAACCCTAGCTCAACTGTTTAATTTTGAGATGTGATGGTATTGTACTTTTTGAAGTCTATTTAAAGCCTTATATTGCCAGGGAGGGCTACTTTATGTATTACAGAAACTTGAAGTTGCTGACAAAGTCAGAACTTTGGTTTTTGTATTCCATGATGTTTTGTATGGGGAAAATTGTTGAAATCTTTTCAAAATCTGTGACAAGTTTTTTGTAAGCTTTGATATTTACCTCCATGTTCATTGGGTCCTTCAGGTGGCCGGCAATCACCTACAAGCTCGCCAGATTTTTCTTTTCTCACATGCTTACCACAAACTTGCCACATTTTTCTTTCTTAATCAACAGACTTGTGACTTGTGAAACTTAGTACCAGTAGATCAAAGTGAAGCAAAATCAAGAGAAAGGAAAGCAAAAAAGAAGTAAAAAAAGGTGAGAATTACTATGTGGACATAGGACTGCATGTGACCATGGATGATGTGTTTGTGCAATTGGATGACCAGATATTTGCGAAGGAAAAGAGGGAGTCTGTGTCTGTACATTTAATTGATGCTGTGAATGCTGCTCTTCTACTCAAGGTGTAAACTGTGGGAATTTGCTTCGTTCTTGTTTGAAATTTATTTATTTTTTATCCTCGTTTTTATAAATATCTTTTTCTCTTATATTCTTTTAAGGGAAAATTTTGTAGAGAATTTTAATTCTCCATCTTATTTCATGGTAGATTCTCTTTCCATTTTTTTTTTCAAGCGGCATAAAAAAATATCCATAAGATATCACAGTACTTTTTATTTCTTATCTCTCTTATTTATTCACTTTTGACCATAAAACTTAACCTCAACAAACTTTTTATACCATTTCAACCGTATATGAGAGAGAGATAGGGAGCCCTCAACGTGGTATTGAGGGGTTGAAAAGGTCAAAAATATAATAAAAAAATATTTTTGAAACTTTTTTGGGTATTAAAAGATATAATGGGGTGGGTTAAAAAAGTTTTTGAAATGTTTTTGGAATGTTTTTGGGTTGAAATGGTATAAAAATGTTTGTTAAAGCTAATTTTTATGGCCAAAAGTGAATTAATAAGGGAGATAAGATATGAGGAGGTACGGTGAAATCTTTAGGGATTTTTTTATGCCGCTTGAAAGAAAAATGAAAGGAGAGCCTACCATAAAATAAGTTAGAAAATTAAAGTTCTGTACGAAATTTTCCCTTCTTTTAACTTTGCCAGTGGATTTACCGGAAGAAGTATATTAGCCACCTTGAAACACAGAAATAGAAACAAAACCTTCCTTCTTGCCCTCAATAAACCATATGCTTTTTAAACTACTACAGCAATCAGCTCAAGTGTGTATTGTTTTTTTTTCTCATTTCCCTTTATGCTTAATTTTGGTTGTTGTTGAGGTTTATCAGGCAGAGAACCACCACTATCATAGTGGAACTGCCACCAGCTCAAGGAACCGTGGTATTCTTTGATATTTGAACTAAGTCATACGGTTTCTGAGCAAACCATCCACCATATTCTCCCTTGGGAGCGCATGTTTGTTTGGCTTGTATGAAAACATAAATGTCATAATAGAAAAAAGTTGGAAAATATCATGTAAATTGAGAAAACTAAGATTATATGGCCCCCAAAAATTGACTCCACTCTTCATTCCCACATCTCAAAGTACTTTTGGGATCTCAATTTTTGGGATGTAGCCTCAATCTAGCAACCAACCTTAAGCGAGAAAAAGGTCACATTTTGTATGTACTAGAGAAAATAGCTTAGCGGTTTTTGGATGGTCATATTTAAGTGTTTTAAGAACTTGTATGCTCTTTTCTTTTTAATAAATACTCATCTGTCTATTCTAAAATAGATCCCCAATTTCACGTCATAAAGTATGCCTACATAGCTCTTTTGCTTGAGTAAGTGTACAATGTGGTTGTGTGGGAGCATGTTGTACACATTCAAATATTTTTAGAGGATGTTTTTAAAAACAATAAACTGTTATTTTGAGTATTTGGAAAATAGAAATGTCATTTCCATTTCTCATTTTTTTATATTCCAAAGTACTATGGTGTTTAAGCCGTTATGAAACACAATTTTTAAATAAAATCCACTTCCCATATGTCTGGTGTCTGAACCATGAGGCCAGGCCCTAAAACTTATGCTATTCACTCAAATGACAAAATAGAAGAGATTAAAAATCTTTTAACTCTTCTTTTGACATATGCACAAATGCAATAGTTCAAGATATGAATACAAAATTTCAAACAACAGTCATATAAGCAACTTGAGAATAGCAAGTTGGCGCTCACACATACAAGCGATCATATATACACAGGCGCGCATCACAAAATAATACATCAATTTTACAATGACTCGTGCCACAACAAAATGCTCACCAATACTCTCCTTTAACACAAAATGCAATCAGCCTGCACAATTTATGCACAGATTAGTAACCTCAAACACTTTTAGCATCCACTCAAAACAGGGCTAACATTCTAGGCTTGGTAATTAGATTCATTTTCCTACGGAAAATTCCCGACTTTTTCGAAGCAGGCTTCTTTTCTTCATGGCAATTTTCCTGTTTCAAAGTCACACCCCCATCAAATTGAACATGAGGGGGTGAACCCCCTGGATATATCCTCTCTCTAATATCCCTCAAATAATGTAGTAGTTTCATGGCTTTCTCTCTCCCCCTTGAGTTCCCATTAACAGAAATATTGACGAGACATGGGATAACCCCTTCTCTCATAACTGATTGGCAATGATCATAACTGTGTGTGCAGAGTGAGAGAAGAAGATCCACTGCATTCTCTTGCTCTTCAAGAGAGCAATGATCAAGAAACTCCACAACAGAGAAAATACATCCATCAGTCCCAACAAGTTCAGCTCTGCCCTCTTCTGTATTGGAGAGCTTTTGCAGGATCCTAATGCAATCTCTTGAAAGTTTGGTATTAGATAAAAGTGGGGTAAGCATGGGAATGCATCCCGATGAGATAACCAAGGAATTCATGTCTCGAAGAGATGATAAATTATGCAATATTTTGACAGCATGAACCCGATATTTCCCAACTTGGTCTTTGAGAACCTTTGCAAGAGAAGAAATGGCGCCTGAAGATAATATTTTGGGCTTACAGCAATCATGGCCAGACAAAACTTCCAAAATAGCTAAAATCTCATCAGCAATCCCAGAATCAATAGATGACACCAGAAGGTGACATCCATCTTCGAATGGACACATAGTTTGGCTTCTACACAGAAAACAAAATACCAAGTATAAAAGAAATCATCTACTCAAGCATCAAACTTACCGAGAGAAATCAGAAGTAAAATACTTCTTCAGGACAGGACACCATAGTGCAATGGACGATGTTATGTGATACTCCAAGGCTAATCCACCATCCATTCCACCGACTGATGGCTGCAGAATAACTATACCCACATGAATATCTCTGTGAGTCCCATTGTAGTTGATCTCGCAACTATCCATCAACAGGAATGGGTGGTAGATGTGGCTTTGGAGTACCACATGCCGGAGTCCATTGGAATATTGTATCCTTCCCATCTTGTTTCAGTCAGTCTTTACCTGCTGTTTCTCACAAAGGCCCAAAGTGCCACTGCTCCCGCTCTCTGTCCTTTTACATCAGATAAATCTCGAGCATCCCTGAGAAAACCCATCAAGGCTGGTACAAAACCATTAGACAACATATAATGGTGGGTTTCACCATGCTCTTTTAATAAAAGGTTAACATCTTCTGCTGCTTTGCATTGGGAGTCTAGGGGTGTTGAGGTGAGCCTAGCATGAAGCTCTACATAAATTTCAGGGCTCGGACTCCATTTCAAAGAAGAAGATTCTGTTGTTGAAAAACTACTATTCCATGAAAAATTCATACTCCCGCTGTAGCAATTCTTCAATATCTCACAGGGGAATGTATCCAAACAGGAGCTACCATCCGAAGAGCTTACCCATGTGTTGCCTATGTGACTATGGGTGGTGGATGATGATGATGATGGTATGCTATCCAATACATTGGTAGGAACACAATCCAAATAACTATTTAAAGCAGATGTGTGACTGTGAGTATTGTATGATGATAATCGGATGTTATCTGATACATAAGCATCATGAAAAGAACTGTTTAAACTGGAGATGTGACTATGGGTGGCATATAATGATGATGGTGATGGCATCCTATCTGATACATGCGTATGACCACCATTCAAAGAATGATCAGAACTAGAGGTGGAAATGGGATTTGATGTTGTGAATGTGCCTAGAGCTGATGGAACGGGTTGTGCACATGGATCCTGAATGGTGACCCCATGCTCTCTACACCACTTTGAGATCAGTTCCTCCAAGGTGGCGTTCGGGGTCATGGAAAGATGAGTTAGTGTCCTTTGTGTCTTTGGACATGTGTCATGGCCCTCATCAAACCATCTCTGTATCCATATCCTCTCATATGTTTGTCCGGAAGCAATTACCACAGGTTCATACATGAGCTGAAGAGAGATTGGGCACCTGAATTCTTCAGGAGGAATAGGTGAACCAGGTGAATCCACAGGAGTTTCTTCAAAAACCAAATTGCGATTTGGTTTCTCCAAATTCGTTTCATCAGAGATTTGACATAGGCCACTATTACAATCGGTGACACTGGTCGAAGGTGAAGCATTATGCTCATCTTTAACATTTTCTCTTTCCTCACAACTACAGAATGTTGTCGTAGGTGGACCTTTCTTGCCAACTTGAACATTTTCTCTCTCCCTGTGACCAGTGGAAATGGTCAAGGTGGAAGCATTATTGCTATCCTCAACATTTTCAATATCCTCGTAACTGAGAAGTTTCCCGTATCTCTTCAAGAGGTTTAGAAGGTAAGCTATAATGCTTTCCTTCCTCTGGTCACTGTCATGGAATTTATCGAGCAGCTTCTTCAGGGACCTCCTCTCAATCAAAACAGCCTTTGGAGATACAATATGCAACCATAGAGCAATACTACGGAATGCCTTGAATTCTGCATTTTTGGTCCAATCACTTGCACTACTGTCACTTCGCAGCAATGCCATTACAGCCTTGCCAGCCTCCTCTTCTGATGATTCCAATCTAAACTTTGACACTCTCAGATCTTTCACAACCTCTGCAATCTGCAGAGTTAATGAGTACCACAGCCGATTAGTATGAAGATATGAAGGCAAGAGGACACAATTTCCCCCTTATCAACAATGAATATGATCTTCTACTTCAACAAAGCAAAAATGATGCTGCTTAAATTGCAGATGTTGGAGTCAACAAATTACTGAAATCATGTAGAGACAGTATAAATGATTAGATATAAACTCCACTTAAACTCTAATGTTTTTTTTTCTTTTTTGGGTAATTTTCACAAAAGTTTCCCTCTTTTTCAGTCTTATTCTTCTATCAGCAGAGAACAGAAAATGAAAAAACTCCTTAACTCTCGGAATCAGCTCATCCAAGTAAGAGCTAAGTTAGTATCACTCAAAACAAGTCCAGACTTAGGTAGAAGTCTTCGAGAATTGTGGAAGATACTTTTCCATGAATGCCTAAAAGGAAGCTCAGAAGTGGTTTAGAATCCTTATATCAATATACCCAACAAACAGCAGAGAAATCAAAGGAAATTATAAGTATCAAACTGCATCAAAGCTTTTACAACGAAGGTGCCAATACATGAACATAGATTTCAGCACAGTTCAGAGAATGTAGCACATAAAAAATTCAAGTATCCTCATAGATAAATACTGGTCTGAAATATGCAGTAATATGCCAGGTTAAAAGTTATACTATTAAGAAATGAAGGTTTTATTTTGACGAAAATCACATTCTTAGGCAATAGTGGTGATTATGTTGTTAGGAAATAGTTGATCCAGATTATCAGTTTAAAATTTAAGCATGAGAAAAAGTGGAAGAAAATAAAATTGGAAAACAGCAAACCTGTTTGGCTAGAAGTTGTGGAACCATATTCTGGATCTGGCTTAAACTTTGATCTAGTGCGTTTTGTATTCTTTCACTCCTCTTCACAATTGATTCTCCTGTCATTGCCTGACAGTAGCATGAAAACAAAACAAGAGAAAATTTAATTAATAACTTACCATGTGGTTATGGTCTGCAGGTATGGAGAGCACTAACAAAGACGAGAAATGACAGCATCCATATCAAAGTATAGCACAGGTATCAAACAACACATTATCACCTTAATGCACCCAAAGATAACTAAACCCCAGTGTTTTCTAAGCTTAAGTATTCTCAGGATATTAAGTCCGTATCTTGTGAAGTCATTAACATCTCAAAAACAGTCGGAATGACTTGTTTAACAACAATGACTTGTGTGTGAAAAATGACAACTCCATGAATGATATAAAACAACCCATTATATGTGTGAGTTGAGTATTTGAATATAATTTTAAATATTTTGGCAAATAATAACTTGCTAATGGTAAAGGAAGCAAATTTTTTATATGCAATACAAGTAGAAGCAAATATCATGGAATTCTCTTAAGCAAACTCTGTTCAATCTTGTTTAAAGGGATGTGCAGAACATTTTGCAGGTAGTGAAGACAAAAAATAATATATCTTAGTCACCACACAGCGCCGCGAGGGCCTACAGGTAGCCGAGCTAGGCACACCCATGCAGTATGCGTGGTGAGCACCAGGTGTGAGCATAGGCACAACGCATCGAGGGTCCACGGGTCAGCCCGAGCAAGGCATACCCACGCAGTGGCAGCGCCTTGCACAAATCACGCAGCTCAGCCTCGTCCCACTCAGGTGCCACCCTTCCTAACTATGTGTGATTTTATCTCTACATAATTGTTCCTAGGAAAGGAAACTTACCAAGTATAGCTTGCTAGACTCAGCACAATGTTGTAGAAGTAACTTAGCCTTTTCAATTGCATTATTTAGAGAACATAGTGCTTGTATTCCAGACATGCATCTTGGTCTAGCCATTTCTATATCTGGAAATATCATTGTGATTCTGTCAACCAACATTGCAAGTTCTCTACATATTAAGCCATGAACCTGCCATTACAAAGAGTAAAAACCACATAAAGTCAGTTGAAAGAAAAAAATCCAAAGAGCACATAGCCAAACCACGTCTAATCTCCATTCAATTACAAGACAACGTACCAGTATGCTGTCATCAAATCAATTCAATTCTGATACATTATTCAGGGAAAAAAATGAATAAAAACAATTACATTCTTGCTTATTAGTAATTTCCATGAATATCCAAATCTAGCCGCTGTTTTGAGACTGTTCAATTGGGAAAACCCTGCAGGGCCAAGGCACCTTGTTATACATACAGAGCATGCACTGTATGCCTTCTCAAGGGGTTTAAGAACCTAGGTTAATTGTCTTCCCCTTCTTTAGTTTCAAGTCTCCACATTATTTCCTTACATGTTAAATAGTCTTCTTATCCTCACTCTTTCTGTATCTGCTGTCCTTATCTACTGTCACAAGCTTCTTCCTCGTACATTTCTTCTTCTTTAGACAACCATGTTATTCTTCAAACCCCTTCTCTTTAATATATTATTAACCATCATAAGCTCTAGAAGACCACAGAAGTTTGCCTATAGTTCTTCACAGTTCCTTGGATCATTAGAGTTTCTTTTATTTTCCCCTAATAGTTACATCTTTATAGTTATTGTTTCTTCTACACATGCATAGGGATTTTTCTTTATTCGATAAAGACTCTTCATAATTTCCAGTATTAATAGTTAGATTCTTCAATGATATATACCAAACTTGATTAAGTTCTTGTATTTTTGTATATTAAAACCATCTTTCATTCTAGCACCTGTCGTTATCTTTTGTATAAGAGTGCCTCACATACTAAATGTTTTCACTTTTCACCAAGAGATTATCAATATTCCCAACATTTTTCATGTCCTTGTCAGTCTACCATCTCATGGTTTCTTGCGAGGCCTCTCACAAACTTAGGAGAGAGAAATTGCATAGTTGGCCAGCTTAACAAAGACCTTTGTAACATATCATAAAGAGAGAATTGGAAAGCAATGTGATGGTCACAGAATAGCTCTTACCTATCAAGATCTGAATCTATTAAAGCATCTAAATATAACAAACAAACCAATGAGAAAAACTAATATAATGTGTAGGCTTGCGGCAATTGAATTACTTGCCTTTGCACCATATGAATGGGGTAAATCTTGTTCAAGATCGACGGAAGGACTCCCCATCCAATAAGAAACCACCCCTAAGATACCAAAAATGGAAGTGACTATATCAATAACCTCATAAGAAGATGTAAGCCATGAGAGAAAAAGAAAAGATGAAGTCATGTTAGTATCCTACACAACCAGGCACCTCTAAATTACGATTTCTCCAAATGACAAAGTGATAAGTAGAGTAGCTGCAAACTGCAAAATTTCAGGGTACTGCACTAAATCCACAAAGTAACAATTTAAAGATTTCTAACTTTTCTGATACTAGTTATCCCCATCTTTGAGTTGCTCCTTGATTTGACGTTCATTCCTTCAGTGACTAAACGAAAACATTTTGGTTGTGAGATGCCTCTCTCAAGGTAATTGCATCAAATCTTAAACAAACGAGAAATTACACCAAACTCTTTAGAACGCTTCATACAAGCAACCTTCCAATTTGAACCAAGGATCACTAGGATAGTTGAATATTCTTTGCCACCTCAACTAATGAAAGACAAGAACTTCCATCAAAAACCTACTAAAGAACTTGTGTAGGTTCTTTCATCAGGAAGTTCAAGTTAAACATTGAATGATTTTTTCCATACATTTTAAGTGAAGAGAAAAATTCTCTCATTTTTTATTATTTAGCATTCTTTTGATCACATAACAAATTATTTTATTAAAATAAAAAATAAATAAGTCCCAAAAGTCAACATAAAAACAGCTCCCAAGACAATGGGGCATCAAGAAAATAAAACTTGACTAACCTATTTGATTATTTATAAGACCAATGTTAACTATCATAACCTTCACATAAAAGTCATCTCCTTAATGTAGCATTACCAGACACTTCATTAGGCTCACCATGTTGACATCTGAAGCTTCGATGTTGCACCACCTGAAGATACTTGTTGAAGAAAAACATAAAGGCTGTATTTTTATACAATTTAATTGCTTGTTATTACAAATTCATACAACTATTAACTTTATTACATGTCATAGCATTTTGTCGTGTTTGTACCTTTTACATCTGAACAAGCTTTACTTGATAAAAATGAGAAATTCATTACCTATCACAATAAACTCTCTATACATAAGAATAAATACCACAAATAGAAAATATAAAGAAATATATTATATGAATTTATAAAAGAAAAGAAAAATCATTATCATCACAATAAATGTGCATTTTTAACATATGTTCTTTGTTAATGATATGCTTGAAACCCGTGCTCGTGTCCAACTAAACTGTTTTGAAGACACTCAGGAAATGCCATGGTGTCACACTATGTTCAAAATGTCGAAGTCGAGTTGAAATCAGACACTGAATGTCTTGATCATTTTCTTTTGACCTTTCTGTGAAAATTAACTAAGGCTTGCTTAAAGGAAAAGGAAGAAAAAGTAATCAAATGATACACTAAAATATTTCATGTTTTCATCGCATTTTGCATTACTATAGCATGATTTTAATGAACAATGAATTAAACATAATGTTAGTATATTATAGGCATGCAAAATCTAACGATTGCAGGACTGAGCAGAAAATACTCTTAGCACAAATGAGCTAGACTAGTGTTTTAATATCGGACTTGGGCCTTGAACTGGGTAGAGCATGGGTCCGAGTCAGTAAGTTGGAATCAGAAAAGTCTGAGTCAGACTCGGGCCAAGTCCTACCAAAAAAAAAAAACAACCAAAAAAAAGAAAAAGAAGAAATATCCAGAACTGGTGAGAATCAACGGTTCTTGAGGTTTTCAACTCAGGCCTAGCACCCTGAGCGACTCAGCCAAATCCATGTCGAACTCGGCAAGTTTGGAAACAACACTGCCTCAAGCAAGACCTTCCATTAAAAATAGATCAATATTTCCCTAGTAGGGAAGAGATTAATTCCATCCTTTGCAATAGCCAAATCCCATAAGGGGTTATTGACTTCCTATATGATAAATAAATATAAATTGCAAGTTGTAAAACCATGGACCAAGTCCAACATCTTCCACTTTATAAAGACATTCATGTCTGGATAACATCATCCCATGATGCATCTCAGCAAGGGACACACTTAATCACAATCATTTCTATTAAATAAGAACATGGTGAGAGTAGACTCTCTAGTTTGGACAAGCAGAAAGTAAAAATCTGCAAAAACCAATAATTCAAACAAGGAAAAATACACACGCACACACACACACACACAAAAAACTGGCTGATGAAAGTTAAGGCTATCTCGCCCACTGTAAACCCCATATTCAGTAGGCTTCAAGAAATTCCTCCTCAATTATAAACTTAGAATCATATATGCCTAAGCATCATTGCAGAATTAGAAGGCATCAGCAATTCTGCTAAAATCACCACCATCCCAGCTTCCAGAATAAAATTACATGGAAAAAACTCAACAACCATATCCATGACATAAATATTAAGCTTCCCAATATCTTTCCACAAGCTTTTGGAACTCAAAAAGTTCAAGCGGAATTGCCAACGAACATTGAACTTTGAAGACACAAACCCAAGACAATCATAACTGAATAGGAATTCTCAGTTTAAAGGTCCAGAATTCCCGTAATTCTGTAAAGGAAAACAACAAACAGTTGAAGAAGGAAATTCCAATAGATTTTCCAAAGAGACCATACTTTTTTTTAATTATCTATATGCCACTTTCTACACTTTTAGGAATGAATTCTCAAGGTCTATCAGAGAAAAATCCAAATTGCAATCGGTAACCAGTACATGAACTATTCAGGAAAGAACAAATGCATTTTCGATTGAAGGAAACTGTCATGCTTAGGTAACTTATTCCAGCAAAATCCAACATACAGTCAAGAAACAGTGAATACCAGCACAAACACCCCCCCACTATGCTACCAAACGAACAATAGCTTGAAGATAACAAAATATTATTGGCTTTCTTTGAGATTTAGCTGTGCTCAGCTTGTAAAGAAAAAGAGAATAAAAAAACCATGCTAAACAGTACCCTTGCCAAGGCTTTGGTTCATCACATATTGAGGTTTAAATGACTGGACAAAAGCTAATCTCTCTCTTTTTAAATGACTGGCTAACAATATGAATAACTTACCAGGTGAATTATAGCCGCTATCCAGTCTCCTGAAACAAAAACTTCAGCACCCAATTCACTGCCAACAGTGTGGAAATGGGAGAGAGAGACTTCCAAGCTCAATGAAACATGAACTATGATAGAGAAAAGCAACAAGCATAGAAACATCTGATTCTCTCTCTATCAATTATCAGGAGGTTATTACAAAAGAAAAACACAAAACTCTCTTTCTAAACCGCGGCTTCCTTGAGACGAATGAACCCACCGAAGGGCTTCGAACCAGAAAAAAGTCTGATGTTCGTAATCCACATTGAAAAAGGACAACGAGGAAGTTCTATAATGCCTAGGCTTCATGGAAACAAAATAAAGCCTCATCAAGAATCCTCTTCCGGAAAGTATTTTTGACATAAATTTTCATGGTTTTAAAATCAATTTTCAAGATCAAAAAAGGAAAAAAAAAAAAAAATAAAGATTACAAAGATCTTTGAACACTTATTTTTAAGGCAAGATGGACCGTCAAGATAACCGGCACTATTTTTTTTAGCTTGAAATTTTTTTTAACAATATAATATTCAAGTAAAGTTTTTTCAATACTTGAATTGCAATATTTGAAACCATTTTCCAAATAAAAACCCCATATATCCAAAATCAAAATTAAACAAAGCCCATCTTGATGGGCTGCTTCTTTTCCTTTTCTTAATAACCCGAACGGCTCATTATTTATATTTTATAAAGCAGGACATGCAAATTAATCAGCAAATACTGTTGTTGCAACAGCCCCAATAGAAAACGCGTGTACAAATGTTATTTATTTATTTATTATGAAGTGATTAGAGAGAAAAAGGGCATACGTCATGGAGTGAAGGAGAGAGAAAGGGTATGCAATATATGCCTGCAAGAAGATATTCTTTTTGGTAAGTAATTAAAGAACAACAAAATAGACCGTATCAATCAAATGACCAAAAAAACCCTAAGAATATCCGGTTTTTGTAAGGGTAAGACTGGAATCTTAGTCTCCGAGCCACAAAAGCCAGGACTGGATCCCATGGACTTCCAAATGGAGGAGAACAGGCCTTTTCCTGTCACAATAAACCCTCCAATTTTTAGATAATATTTATTGCATAACCATCCAAGGCCTTGGGTCAAAGTCTAAAAGTTGGTTCCTAATTTTTCTTTTGGAGTAGTTTTCTTTGTTTTCTCGGAATAGTTTGAATGAATTCAAATTCTACAGTTTGGGCGTGGCCATTTCACCTGAAATTTGAAGAAATGAATCATACAGTACACTAATTTGAGATAAAAGAAAAACACTACAACATTTGTGTACATTATATGGTATGGGATATCATGTGCTTGCATCACATTTATATCTAGCGATTAAGAAAAATGCCGATCTGATATGGGATCAACCGATTTGAATTGATTTTTAGAGGAACCAATCCGTTGGTTCACTATAAGAACTGGTAGGTTCATGGGAGGAATTGGTCAATTCCTTTAAGAACCGCCCAGTTCCTACCAGGAACTAGTCAGTTCCATGTAATTTTTCATCTTTTAAATTTTAAATTTTTGAAAATTTTATTTACTGCAGGCTCCACATTTCCCATATAATTTTTATTTATTATAGTTTTTTTATTTTTAAAAATTTACTAGAGGTTCCATATAGATGGAGTCTCTATCTTATTAGGCAGAATGCCTTCTACCGTGGGTTATCAATTAACCTTTAAGTGCAAAAATGAGTTCTTTGCAAGAAAGAATCGCTTCTACTAAATAGGGATCAATAACTTTCATTCAAGCAATTTATGTGCTTACAAACGATTTGACCGGCCCTGCTCCTATCATGATAGTTGCATATTTAGATGCTACTACCATACAATCAAGAGCATTAACCGCCAAAGATATCTATCCAGCAATAGATCCTTTAGATTCAATATCAACTATGCTTCAACCTTAGATTGTTGACGAGAAACATTACGAAACTGCACAAAGAGTTAAACAAACTTTACAATGTTGCAAATAACTTTAGGACATTATAGCTATTCTTGGACTAGATGAATTATCCGAAGAGGATTGTTTAACTGTAGCAAGAGCACAAAAAATCGAACGTTTCCTATCATAACCCTTTGTAGCAGATATATTTACTGGTTCTCTAGGAAAATATTTTGGTCTTGCAAAAACAATGAAGGGGTTTAAATTGATCCTTTCCGAACCCACTAGGTGAAATGGAGTATGCATGGGATAAAACTTTTAAAGTTTAAAATTAGAATATGTGGGCTATGAACATATACCCCACCTAACATCTATCGATTTATCTATCTCTTCTCTCTCTCTCTCTCTCTCTCTCTTTCTCTCTCTTACAAAAAATACAAATAAAGATCTCTCTACTTTTATAGGTTCGATTTAAAATAACTGAAAGCAATAAGACTACAAATACAAAATTCAAGTACATTTTAATATTTAAAGGAAAAATTTGCATACGTAGTCATCTAGGTACAAAAAAAGAACAAGATAAATAAAATTAAAAGAATTTTACATTGATTTTAAAATTCTTCTATAACAAAACCTACAAAATGTAAGTCCTACCATTTCAAGTCATCAATTTGGTGCATTTTTTCCCTCCCCACCCCCCTCCTCTCTCAATTAGGCAAGAGATAGAACATGAATCTGTGGGTATGAGAGTGAGACATTTTAGAGTGATGACATTGGTAGGTAAAGCTTAGACTTGAGACAGAGAGACGATATTTTGGTTTGGTGTAAGAGAAAGATCAAAAGAACTTTTACAGAGACCATATGCCTATGTGAAGTTTAGAGAGAGGGATAAAGAGAATTTATACACAAAGAATTTGATCTGGTGCAAGGGAGAGAGTGTGTATGAGCCTGTGGGTATGAGGAAACCATTTAGAGAGAGCACATGGGTATGTGAGGAAGAGAGAGATAGAAATATTAGGAGACCACTTAGAGAGAGTATATGGGTATGTGAGGCAGAGAGAGATAGAAATGTCGTTTAGAGAGAAAATGAGGATGGAATATACATCACTTTCCCCTAAATCCGCTTTGTCCTCTAGTTGAGGGCCGAGGATTGCGATAATCTTTTGGAAGAGGGTAGTTCTTTCCTCTCCCATTTTAAGTGACCACTGTGGTAGCCATGGAGGTCTTTGCCTAATTGCTTTTGAACTTTCCTTTATTTGTATTTCTTCCGATGGTTATTGGTTAAGGACCAAACCCTAAGCCTTCCATGTGACTTTCAAGATTCACAATGTTAGAGACCATGTCACTAAAGGTTTGAGGGTTAGATGCTTGCAAATGCAGTACGATTTGTGGCCTCATGTCCTTAATGCACATGTGTACCTCTTGTTATTCAGATAACGGGTTGGCTTTTCCCACATTGAGATTCCACCACTGAATGTACTAACATGTTCATGTTCCTTTTATTTTGTGTTGAGGAGCTCCAACAGTTAAACGTCCCCTTTTAGTATTGCGGAAGCGTGTTAAGATTACCTCTTGCATCTGTCTTCAAGTAAGCATTGATCCCAGTGGCAAACAAGAGTACCAAGTAAATACCGGTCTTGACAATGATTGGACAAATTGCCACATTAAAAGATATTTATTGTTGGTGGTGTTTGCGCAAACCGATATAAAGTGCATCAAGTGTTGATGAGGTGAACGAACCACTCCCATCAAATTTTGGAAGTTTTGGTTGTTGAAATCCAATTAGAAAGGGTATCTCATCGACATACGTTGGGTATTGTTTTTTATAAGCATCTATTGGTCATATGCTTAGAAGGTGCGAAGACCGAAAACTTTCCATTACCAAGTCATGAACCATTTCAGCTGACATGGTGGTACCCACAGGTTGTGGAGGCAGACGCAGTACTGGAACATTAGCTGGTTGATTTCCTGCACTTAGGTTGGAAGATTGCAGCTTTGAGGTGTCACCCAAAGTGGTTGACACATACACTATTCTCAAGACTTCGAGTTCAATGTACTGTGCTCGGAGCTCTGTTTCCTTTTGAGCCAGCATGGCCCTCAAGTGTATCACTTCCTTTGGTTCCTTCAAGGGGTTATCTGCTCTAACATCCACCATCACATTTGCTATATAGGCTCTTCCAATGTGAATCCAAATGATTCATTCTCTGATGTCTGTGATGTCGTCTCCAATTGTTCAAATGATACCATTTGGGTGTCCACTGATACTGACTGAGCTTTTTAAGCCTTAGTCACACTCTGAGTAACATACTTAGTATAAATATGGACTTGGCGTTCTAATTGTATTATTTCTTTCTTGAAAGCTTGACAAGCGGACATTTATCATTTGACAAAAGAGATGAAATATCGTCAAAGTTCAAAGCGACTTTGCCTTCTCAGGGTTTCATATCTTTCTCAGCATGTCATTTTTTAGGGCGCTACGGGTCTACCGCAGGCCCATGCGTGAGAGAGAGAGAGAGCAGAGAGGAAAGAGAGAAGAGAGGGTATCATGGCTCGCCGCAGGCCCGTGCATGAGAGAGAGAGCAGAGAGGAAAGTGAGAAGAGAGGGAGCATCATGGACCTTCCATGGGTTCGTGAGGGAGAGAACGAAGAAGAGAGAGAGACAGGCCCACTACGGGCCTGAGAGAGAGAGAGGATGTGCACAGACCTGCAGTGGGTCTGTGTAACAGGAAGAGGGGGTAGGAGAAAAAGAGGGAGGAGAGAGAAAATAGAATAGAGAAAGAAAGACAAAGAGAGGAAGAAGAGAAGGAAAAAGAGAAAGAAAAGGGAAAGAGAAAACGAATAGAGATAAAAAAGAGAAAAGAGAGAAAGAAAGAGAGGGAAGAGAGAGAGAGAGAAATAAGAGAGAGAAAGAGACAAAAGCGAGTATGGACCTAGGTCGGCTCGGGTCTATCCGCCTTTGAGCATCCTCTTTGATTGCTCCTTAGAGAGGGGGCTTGACCTTAAGTGTAGGGGGTTAGGGTCTAGGATTGGGGTGAGTGGGCTTAGATGGACTAAGATGGCTAAGGTGTAGTGTAGTGTATTGTTGTAGCTTAAGGTAGTATAGAGTGTAGGGTGTATAGTAATGTAGAGTGGTCTAGGGTGTAAAGTGTAGGGTAATGTTTACGCTCCGATCTGTGCCGATCTTTGGGATGAGATTTGCTCAAATCTTAGCAAACACTAAGCTATTTTTGAAAAAGTAGAAAAAATGGGGTCGTTTGAATTGTAGGCTCAAAAAATCCCAAATCTATACAGATCTGGTCTTTTTTTGAATCCACTGACAGTGCCAGCTTCAAATCTGTATTTCGACCTAAAAACGCTTCTAAATTTAATCAAGTCTAATAATAATGTAATTTCAAAAAAAAAAGAAAAAAAGAAAGAGAATTAAATGAAGAAAAACAAACTAAATTAAGCAAAAAAAGTGATATTTACCTCTATGGACTCAAAACCTGGAGTTTCATGCTTGGATCAGGCCGTTCTTCCGATTTGTGCCACCACCTCCTTATTTTGAATATCTTTGCTTGCTGGAATTGGAAGATCTAAAGTTATTTTGACCTAGATCTAAGGTTCCTAAGGTAGGGAGAAAAACTGAGAATTTTAAGTAGGGTCTACCTAGGCTTTTATTAGGATTGGAAGAGAATTTCATTAGTTTTCTAAGGGTTTTGGGATCTTCAGATGTTGAATATGAATTTTGAGATTTTTTTTGATTTTTTGGGAATTTCCCTATTTTTTTAGTAATTTTCTAAAGGGTTTTTTTTCCTATTTTTTGGTATTTTTGGGTAAGTTTTCTAATTTATGAAATTTCTAAGGGATTTCTTTATTTTTTTTAGTCTC